AAAATCTTAGTGTTTGTAATTGTCACACACACACACACACACACGCACGCACGCACGCACACACACACACACACACACACACACACACATATATATATATATATATACACACATACTTTTATAAAAGAGTAAAACAATTTTTTGGAAGACTTTCATAAAATTCATGTTTTCATAACAGAATTCCTGGACTTTGAGAATGAGTGCAAGCTCAGATCTGGCAGTGGTTGTAAAAGCACCGAACAGTGGAGTATAAACTTTTAAATGTTTCAATGCTTGTTCAGCGACTAACTCTTCTTTCTTGTTCCATTCAGCTTGGCCCATTACGACAACCCAAATCTATAAACAATGATAAAAGTACTTTTATGTGTCTTAATAAAATGTATAAGAGAAAAAAAAATAATTACCAATCCAATCACTTCATGTTCAGGAATGCCACTCCTTTGTGCCATTTCTTTGAGATCTAATGTAATGTCTTTCATCGGCCTATTTTCTGCTAAATCATCCAAGAGAAGTTGTTGCAAATCCCGCTTAGCTTCTTGACTGGCTTGAGCCTTGTGTAATTTGACAATATCCGCCAAGCCTACTGCTTCGAATACAGACCGGAAGTGTTCTTCTGTTCGTTTATTCGGTGGTACAAACTCCATCAACCTACAAAATATACAAATGGAATCACATAAACAAGATAGTGAGTATACGAATTGATTAGAATATTGAGAGAATTTCTTTAAATTGTATATAATAATATATTATAGCTTTACCTTCCCTCAATACCGCCTTTCTTCAAAGCTGTCATTAAACTAGATAAACCCTTCTCCTGTTTCCAAGTAACAAAGACTTCCAATAGAAAGTCTAATGCCAAATTGTCCTTAACAAGATGTTCATTTATCAGGACTGAGAGTACCGTAGGTGGTACAGAACCATTCGAGATCCATAGTGCTGTCATTCTGGCTAACTTGATTCTTTCTTTAGGTGAAAATCCTTTCATGAAAACTAATACTTTCTTCATTTCTTCCTCAAACATTTTCTCCAGATATTTGTAACGCCGCATGAGCTTGATAAAGACCTGTTTATTCAAACAATATTTATTTTTTATTTTAAAATTTTTTTAAAATTTTATTTTAAAATTAACAAATGATGTGTGAATGAAAACATATGATAGGGAACATCATGGTCAAAGATTTTAGATTCAAATAATTTCAAATAATATGATACATATATTCTTTGTTGAATTGAAATAATTAAGATATGATCGCGCCCCGCAACATTCGAACATTCATGTATTAATTTATCACAAATGTAATTATGTGCCAAAATGTTTGGATTTTCAGTACATTCAATCTGAGACACTAGTTAATCCCCCCTAAATTAAATTTATGTAATGAACTATACTGCGAAAAATATTACTTCAGCTAAGGTTCGAACCTGGGATCTCTTAACTTTCAAAAAAAAATTTTTATTTTGATGGATATAGCAATGTCTCGAAAACAAATATAACAAAATCTAAAAAATAAGACAATGTCCCAAAATGTTAAATTACCGAAATTTCGAAACGTGTGAAAAATAAGACAATGTCCCGAAATATCAAGTTATTTGATTTTATTTAAAACAATGATAAAAACTCAATAAAATAAAATACTCATTATATTTCATTTTTACCTGTTCAAAATTTCGCATAGACTCCATGTCCTCTGGCTGTTCAAAAACACATGCACTAGTTTTAACTGGTTTGTCACCATCTTGAGCAATGGAACCACCAGGAACTAAAAGGCCTCCAGCTATCATGATATCAAACAGTGCCTCTCCATATCGACGATAGTCCAATTTAGAACCAGCTGCATCCAAAAATTTAGAAATTGCTTCTAAGTCGTTACCAGCTTTCTCCAAACCAAGCAAAACTGCATCTCGAAATCCAGTTGGGTCATATTTTTCTCTTTCATCTACAAATTTTATCAAACAGCTTTTGAGTATAAGATTTTGAAAATTTTTTTTTAAATTTTACATAATAAATAATAATTGATTTTTACCTCTTTTTCTGGTCTTTATGCGTTGACCTGATAGTATCGGTTTTTCTATTTTTTGACTCATACAATACCCTTCTGAAAATATTATAGATAAATGTAGTTTATTTATGACCTTATTTCTTTTATGTTGAAGAATTTTCCAAGAACAATAATTAATTACGGGATAAAATTTCAAAATGTTTTAAAAAAGGTTTATAAGAAACGTGCAAATCCTTGAGATTTCAATATGAATCTATTGCTGTAAATCTGCAAAAATGTAAGCTGAAGCGCAAGAAAACATGTGCTTAACATTATTACGAATTACGCTGTAACATTTTAACTTTGGAATCGTTAAAGAGTAAGATAAAGAACGTAATAAATAACGACAAGAAAAATAGTCTATGTCTAGTGTTGTTGTCAAGTATCTGTAACATGCAAGATCAGGGGATTAGAACAAGGGACATATATAATATAAAGCTAGAATGACTAGTTCGGAGGTTAAGATCGCGCGCGATGCGTAACCACGATGGCCGAAGCCATTAAATGTAACTCGAGGGAATCGGCGAAGTGTGTGCGACAAATCTGCCGACTCTCTCATAGCCGATGATGTTTCCCGCTCGTTGCATTACTTACTTTGAAGCACGTACAAATTTTAGAACAATCTCTCCTGTGCGAGCGTTAGACCAATGTGAAATGTTTTAACGAAGACACTCACTCTCGATCGAGGTCAGCAAAATCAAAGAGACTCGAACAGAGAAGAAACAATGGTTAACAAATTGTAGACGACAAACCGACAGATCAATTTTCACATGGTGAAAGAAACCCAGGTGTGCTCGTACTCGAGACGAATTTCGTACGGTTCTGCGTAAATATAGGATGCATTCCGAACAGTGTTACCAGATATCAGCAGAAATTTCCCTGTTAGCATATGAAAATCTCTTTAATTTCCCTATTTCTCTTTAATTTTCATTTTTTTAAATTTCAGTTTTTCAAATTTCAAACACCGACGAGAATTAAAGACCGACATCCTTACGAAAGTTCGTATCCTTGAGAATATTGAAGTGATTAAGAATTAAGAACTGATAATATTGTACTAATTTTATGATTTATTAGTTAGGAAACGTATTTATGTATTTAGAACTTAATACTCAAACATTCTTTAAAATTGCGATTTCAGTGTTATCGTCAAAGTTTTATTATCAACAGAGATGACTGCAGAGAAAAAAATTGTAATTTTTCGGCAATATATAGGATATTATAACTTTACAAGTATGCATCTTTATTTATAGAACATTTATGTAATAAAAAATCATAAACTTAATAATAATGTATTAGCCAAATATTTATGTTAATAATAATAAATTTATATCAATTGTCGGTAATGTTAGCGTTCTTCAATTACCTCTGAGCTCTTGCTGCCTTTTTTATACTACCAATAATTTACCCAGGGTTGACAGTCTTTGATAGTATCTCGTCGATGGTTTTGATAATTATTCAGTTTAACCCCCCCTCCACCCCCCACCCTCGCATCTTATAAATCAATGAAATTAGGTTTATTCGATGCGTTTTTGCATGAAATGAAAGAATTTGGCAAAAAAAATGTCGCTCTGTCCCGTGAACCGAGATATTAAGATTAAAGTTGACGACTATTGAGGTTAGAAAATCTGTCACAGCCGCGAAACAAAGAATGCTTTTCAGATCGACCGAC